AAGCAGGAAGCGGCCACCTCCAGACCGCCCCGGTCCCTCCAGCCCGTCAGCCAGGTGGGGCCCGCCCAGGTGAGGCCACAGGAGGGAGGGTGGTCCTGGGGAGGGACGTGGTGAGTGGCCAGCGGGGGACACTGAGTGGACACTGAGTGAAAGTGGAGTGGACGTGGAAGGGACACAGGGTGGACATGGAGTGGATGCTGAGTGGACACAGGGTGGACCCCAGGACCCGAGTTCGGGATCCACCCTGCATCCAGCGCCAGTGTCCCCACATCTCCCAACTCTCCTCTACCAGATGGACGCGGTGTCCCCTCGCTCCGCCAAGGTGGGGTCGGCAGTGAGGGACCCCCAGGGCCAGCAGCCCAGGGAAGCTTCTAGTAAGTGACAAATGCTTGGAGCTCCGTGGCCTCCGGCTGGGTCCTGGGAGCCAGCACCCCTGCACCAGCCCTCCCCGCTCGGGCCCCTCTGGGAGCATCTGCTCCCCATTACGGGGGGCGGGGGGCTGGCGGGATGTGTGGACGCAGGCCGTGATATCACCACTGGAGGGTGGAGGCTGGCAGCTCGTCGGGAGCCCAGGCCGGCCGCTCCGCCTGGAGGGGCGGCAAGAGGGGCTCCCCACCCCGCACGCAGGCTGAAGCAATCATCATTCCTGGCGCTTCTCTAACACCTTGCCCAGACCGCCTGCCCCCACCCTCTCCCTCGGTCCCGGTCTCCTCCTCCCTTCCCAGCTATCCTGCCGGTGGGTGGCCCCCAGGCCTGGTGGGGAGCGGGGTTGGGGGGGGTTCCCACCTGGGAGCCTCTACCCCGGAGACAAGCCTGCAGAGAGAGGGGCTTCACCCCGTGCTCTTGCGAGAACTCAGCTTTCCCTTTGGTAAATCAGGAAAAGCGCCACCAGCTGCCCTGGAAGCCTGACATTGAGTCAGGATGGTCATCAGAGCTGTGTCCCTGCAGGAACCCCCTTCCTGGCCTCTCACCACCCCGCTCTCACATTACATGCTCCCCCCACACCAATTTTGTATCCACTGGGTACTTTTCACTAACTTCCCAGTGGATGGCTGACCGGATTCAGCTTGCATGCCTCTGAGGGTGGTGAGCTCACTACCTATCAGGTTTGCCCTTCCCACACAATGGCGTGTGCGGACCACTATCTGCCTCCCTAGAAGCTCCACGTGCCAACTCTAGCTGCGTTCCCGAGACAGAGCCCAGACAACGTGCTTGAGCCCCATCATCCTCGTGGCAACTCTTTAGATGGACGACAGCAGCGACCCCTCCCGGGACCTTCTGTCTCCTTGGCCCCCCTGCTGACGGGGCACGCTGGCCTCTACGCCCTCACCTCCCCCCAGCTGTGGTCTGGTTCCACAGAAGATGCTGCAGGGAAAAAGCAGAATAAAACTGAATATTTCCCATAGCAAGTTAGCGCAAAGACAAGTTAGGGAAGACACCCAGGGCCCTTCCGGATGGAGTCATCCAGTGCATCAGAATATTCTAGAACCCCAGAAAGGGGTGACGAGGTGGCTGGTGCAGTCCCCATGGAGTCTGGGCCTGGACCGCATATCTTCACACATTCGTTCATTCATTCATGCAGTGCTGGGGCAGCAAGTTACCTGTCGTGAGCATAATTCCAGACACGACCAAACGCCATGGGGGAGCCCAAAGCCAGCTGCATTCTTCATGGGGCACTGTCTCCTTAGCTGAGTGGGTATGTCTGAGCAGTAAATGCCATTTAAAAAAATCATTTTTCTATTTCTGAGCATGCTTGCCAGCTTAATGGGGGTGGTAAGTGGTTTGTGGCACAGTCACCATGCAGAGGAGAACAGAGCTGAAAAAGCCACACACACTGTATCGATTCCCCCATTTTACCCCCAAAGAAATCCACCACCCACTACACAGAGTTTACCAAAGTTTCTTGCGAAGACCTTTGCTCCTAACTCACTGGGGGTCTGTCTGTGGTGGTGGGGGGGTCTCCTTTTCCTGCCACTGACGGCCATCACGGAAAATCCACGTTTCACTCACGCGCCATCCCAAGGAGAGGAGCTCCTGCCAGGTCGGATGCGTGGACCTGTGTGATGAGCTGGACCGTGTCCCCCAGGTCGTAACCGCAGGACCTCAGAAGTGACCTTACTTGGAAGTGGGGTGGCTGCGGATGTCCGGAGTTACTGAGGGCCTGTGTGTGTGTGTGGCGGGGGGTGCACTGGGCAGATGCTATGGGCGACTCACCCGCTTCTCAGAGCACACGTGAGCACGCGGAACGAGGCCGCCGTCCGGCTCGGCCAGAGGCGCTGAAGGCGCGTGTGCAGCATGAGCGAGGTCACCGTGAGGAATCCAGCTCGTGGTTAGAATAATCTGACCATGGAGACGAATCTTCAGCAGAAAGGGACCCCATGACACCGCCCACTTTTCAGCAGTGAGTGGAGCTGCTCCAGGGGCTCCTTTTGGAATTCAGGTGCCCACAGTCAGGCTCCAAACCCGAGCGCCAGTGGCTGGGGGGGGTCTCTCCAGGCCCCAGCCCACCCAGGGCCCTCGAGCTGCCCCGATTTCCCCTCCCACCGTCTCTGCGGCCCCATGTGTCTGCCTCCCGGCTTCCCCGGCCCGGGGCCACCCGAGGACAGGCCAGGACTCCCAAGGAGGGCTGCTGTGGTCATTCGTCCAGGTGGCTTGATCAAGCCGGCCCTTCCCCCGTGACCTGCAGGCTCAGAGCCGGTGGGGGGGGCTACACCACTACCTGGGACCCCTCCAGCCCCTGCTGAGAAGTCCAGACGATGCCGTCCATTCACTCATGCCTGAGTGCACTGCCCCCCAGGTCCGGTCACTGACTCAGTTTCCCCCGTCTCGGGCTGTCCTGAGAAACAGCACGGTTTCCAGCTTCTCGTCTGCCGTGGTGATCAGACGGGGCGGTGCCCAGAGGACTTGCAGCCTCCCAGGACACGGCTGGTGCTCAAGGAGGGAAGGCCGGCGTCTTACAGGGTCTCCTCGCCAGCACCCGCCCTCTGGGCCCCGGGCCCTGCCCAGCCCAGACCCAGACGCAGGCCCAGGCCTCCCAGTGAACCGTCATGGGGTTTTGCTGTGTGCGGCCCGGGGCCCTGAGCTGGGGCTTGCTCACCCTCCAGGGGTCAGGGAGGGACAGGGCATATGGGAGGCCCTGTGTCCACCCAGGTCAGAGGGCTGGGGACCCGTATCAGTGGTCCCAGGGCTGGATGGAGGGAGAGACCCACAGAAAGACCTGGAGACAGACAGACGGACAGAGATCCTGTGATAGAAGTTGAGAGAAGGGGGGAGTGAGGAGGGAGTGACATTCTCCTGGGGGTGGGGTGAGGCCTGCCCCCTCCTCCAGCCCCTCAGTGCCCGAGTGCCCCCTCCTGACCGGGGGTCGAGGGGACAAGATCTGCCCCAGGAGGGCCCCCCCGGGCCCAGGTGAGGGGCTTTGCAGGGGCCCCGGGGAGCCTCCCGCAGGAGACGCGGAGCGCAGGCGCCCGTGGCCCAATGGCGCCACCTCGTGGACTTCCCACGAACTTCAGCCTCGAAGCAAGCCCGTGTGGTGGACACGTTCCTGCTGGCGGGCGGGCCCACGCTGGGACTTCACCTCCCCACCACACTCCCCGGGGGGGCTTTCTCAGCTGGTGGGGTCTGCACCTGTGAGGCCACCACGCAGGGCCGAAAGGCACTGAAAACAGAGGACATCCTCTAAGGGTGAGTTTCAGATGAACGAGGAATGCTTCCTTAGTGGGATTCCGTCCTAAACATTAGGGGCATACTTATGCTAAAAACGATTCCCCCTTTGTCTGAAATGCACATTGAACTGAGCTTCCTATAGTTTCTCGTCAACCTCAGCTCTGACTCTTAACAGCCACCAAGATTTCCTGCTCTGGGGTAAACACACTGGGGGCTTTGGGGTAAACACACTGGGGGCTTTGCAGCTGGGGGGGTGTCCGAGTCTCCTGACGGTCACCCCTCGGGAGTCAGAGCAGTCCCGGAGAACCGCAGTGCATCTCCCAGCCCTGGGAGCTGCCAGAGCGTGCCAGGCGCTCACGTGTTCTTTCATTTAATCCTCACGTGCCTCGCTGTGGTTGCCTGAAGGATGGGGAAGCTGAGGCTGGGACAGGCGCAGAGACTTGGTCTCAGCTGGGAAGGGCTCCAGGGCTCCTGCCCCCTCCCTAGCGCAGGGACAGTGAGTGGGAGAGTGTGGTGATGGTGAGTAGATTGTAGTAGTGGTGAGTAGACAGTGATAGTGAGTAGACAGTGAGTAGATTGTAGTGATGGTGAGTAGACAGTGAGTAGATTGTAGCGATGGTGAGCGCAGGGACAGTGAGTGGGAGACTGCCGTCTCGGGCCCAGAGAGGTCAGCAGACCACCAGTGAGTCACATGAAGCTTCCGAGCCGAGCCCAGGACGGAGCACGAGGGGGCCCTTCCCGGGAGGAGGGGAACACACCTGTCTTCCAAGGAGAACAGTAAGAGAGGTGGAGGCCTTGCTGCGGTCACACGGCTCATCGACGAGACACCAGCCAGGACTGGGCCTCGGCTGGGCTCCCCGAGAGCCCCCACACTTCCCGCCCACAGCATCCCCAGAACTCAGGCCTGGAGCTCCCAGGACGCAGGCAGACCCCTGCAGGAAAGCCGGACCTCTCCTGGGGTGCAGAGGGCCGCCCAGGGCGGGGTTCCCAGCACATGGGGAGCTGTGGTCCAAGGTCTCAGCCCCCTTGTTCCGCCTCCCGGTGGTGGGGTGGGGACTCTCACTCTGCGATCCTCTGTCCAGAGACGGGCTGAGGACACCTGCTCTTCTAGGGACGGGCCTAAGGGGGGCCGGGCAGCTGTGAACCCGCCTTTGGTGAGTGCAACTGGCCAGCAGTGTCTGTAGCCTCATGGGGAGCGGGCTCCAGGGCCTCCGTGGAGGACGGGGTGGGGGCAGAGGTGCAGGAAAGCAGGGGTCACGGAAGACACAGACAGCGTGACTCCCAGGGGAAGAAGAGCTCCCAGCAGCGGGCCCAGCGGGCGCAAAGGGCCGGAGCTAGGAGACCCTGGGGCACCGCACAGGGCAGCTGGCCGGGGCGGGGGGGTGCTTGAGCAGAGGCATGGTGGGGGTGGGGCTGAACTGCATCAGAGGGACCCAGAGGTCATCCCAGAGCCCCCCACCCCACCCCGGGGCGGTGAGCAGGGAGCCGATCCGCTTATTTCTCGGCAGACGGTGGGAGAGCTTGTGAAGAAGCAGCTGGAAGGGTCTGTGGGTGGCGAGAGAAGGCAGAGAGGGACAGATGAGCAGGTCTGGGGTCTGTCTTGATCGCTGCCAAGCTTTTCTCACGGGTCGAGAAAGCGAGGAGCCGAGGACGATGGGAGGGCTGGCGTTGCCCTGGCAGACGGCGTCTTTGTCAACATCGAGTGTGCGAAGCTCCGTGGACCCCGCATGTGAAGGCATCAGGTGTCAGCTGGGTACACCGGGGCAGGGTATGGGGGTGGGGCCCGCTTGGACCGGGCAGGAGAGAGAGGTGCACCCACGTAAAGGCTGGTCCCCCTTCCCTGACCACCAGCCCTTGGCGAGGGCAGCACAGTTGGCACCTATTCTTGCCAGTGTTACCCGCCCCATCCCAGCCCCACCAGCCCTGGAGACGGTTGTCATGGCAACCCAGGCAGGCCCCTGAGCCCAGAGACGTCTGCTCTCCCACATAGCATCCTTATGCTAGCTGGTAAGTCCTGGGAAAGGGAAATCAGCCTCTAATTGGGCACACGATTCTCTTTACAGACAGGAAGACTGAGGCCCCAGGGGATGGAGAGAGCTGCCTTCATCCACTGGCAATGTTTCTGGTTCTCTAGAGCACAGAGCTAGTTTCCAGAGGCTGCTGAAACCAACCACCCCAGACCTGCTGCCTTAAAGCAACACAAGCGTATTATCTTGCTGTTCTGGAGATCAGAAGCCTGGCGGGGTCCTCCCCTGGCTAAACTCACAGTGTGGGCAGGCCCCTGCTCCTTCTGGAGCCTCCCAGGGAGAAGCCAGGTCCTTCCCCAGCATCAAGAGGCGCCTACACTTCTTGGATCACAGCCCTCCACCCGCAGAGCCAGCAGGGTCTGGCCACACTGTCACACCATCCTGGTCTTCCCCTCCGCCTCCCGATTCCACTTCTAAAGGGCCTCATCGTGACGTTAACCATCCGATGGTGGCTCAGATTGTAAAGACTCCACCTGCAATGCAGGAGACGCGCAGGTTCAATCCCTGGGTCAGGAAGATCCCCTGGAGAAGGGAATGGCAACCCACTCCAGTGTTCTTGGCTTTAGAAGTCCTTGGACAGAGGATCCTGGTGGGCTACAGTCCATATGGTCGCAGACACTGAGCAACTAACACTTATGGTGACATTGGGCCCACCTTCTAATCCAAGACAATTTCCCTATTTTTAGAGTGACTGTCCAGCCACCTTTATTGCATCTGCAAATTTCCCTGACCTCCACCACGTAACTGCCAAGGTATTACAGTTCTGGGCAGGCATCCAGGGCTGCCTGACAGGGTCACCAAGCTGCGTCCCACCTCAGGGCCTTTGCACCAGCTGTGCCCTTAGCTGGGCATGCTATTCCCCTGACAGTCACCAAAGTTGCCCTCATCATGCAAGTCTTCCTGCTTGCATCACATTTCCTCAAGGCCTCTGCTTAAACGTCTGCACCTCCTCCGTCTTCTTAGCTGCCTCTCTTTCCTCCCACACCCATTACAACCTGCAATCATATATAAAGCTTAGAAGTCCCATTGGATTTCTTTCCTGCTGGCCTCCACCCAGCACAGGCACCATAAAGATGGGAATTTTGTTTTGCGCGCTGCTGTCTGTCAGACGTCCCAAACGGAGCCTAGTACTTGGAGTGATTCAGTGAATGGATGGGTGGATACTGGTGAGAAGTGTGGCTCTCACACAAGCGAAGGAAATTCTCTGTCTCAGAGAGGCGTGCGCTCTTGCCCCTGATGATGTCCCTGTGTGAAGAGTCAGACACAACTCGGCAACTGCAACTTTCGCTTTTTCACTGTGAGGCAGGGAGTGAGAAACAAAATCTTTCAGCCTCTAAGGAAAGCCTGGGTTGGCCGGCAGCCCCTGGGGCAGGAGTGGGCGTGGGGAGCTTTGTGACTCTGTGGTTGCTACCCTTCCCGGGGTGAGCTTGGTCACCCCCATTTCATAGACAAAGGAAACGAGGCCCAGAGATGTAAGTAAGCTGCCTGAGGTCACACAGCCACAGTCAGCGCCCATGTCTGGTCCAAACTGTGACCCCTCTTTCCTTCAAAAACCCCTTCCGCACTTCCCCGTCCCTTCCCTCCCCTCCCCTTCCCTTCCTGCCCACCCTCGCAAGCTCCTAGTTGAAAGCAGGTCCCTGGGTCAGGAAGATCCCCTGGAGAAGGGACAGGCTACCCACTCCAGGATTCTGGCCTGGAGAATTCTAGGGACTGTACTGTCCATGGGGTCGCCAAGAGTTGGACCCGACGGAGCGACTTTCACTTTCACTTTCCCATCTCTCTGGCAAACCGCCGGCTGTGCTGAGGTCAGTCGCTCAGTTATGCTGACTCTTTGCGACCCCGTTGACTGTAGCCCGCCAGGCTCCTCTGTCCACTGGATTCTCCAGGCAGGAATGCTGGAGTGGGCTGCCATGCCTTCCTCCAGGGGATCGTCCCAGGTCTCCCGCACTGCAGGCAGAGCCTTTAATGTCTGAACCACCAGGGAAGCCCAAGAATACTGGAGTGGGCAGCCTGTCGCTTCTCCAGCGGGTCTTTCTGACCCAGGAGTCGAACCAGGCTCTCCTGCCTTGCAGGCAGATTCTTTACCAGCTGAACCACCAGAGAAGCAAACCACCCGCAGATGGCAGCAAAACCCTTCCTTCCCAAGCAGGGAGCCAGCCCGGCGACTTATTAAAGTGTAATAAGTGAGGAGGATCCCGGATCTGGCGGGACGGCATGAGTCTGCAGATCCGTGGGAGGAAGCACCTGTGCTCACCGTGGGGTGGGGGTCCGGGTGGAGGGGAGCGGCAGGTGAGCTCTGCCTGTGCCCAGGCCAGGGGGCAGGGGTCTCCTGCAGGCCCTGGAGAGGAGGGGCCCCAGCTTGCCCCCCTGTGGAACCTCAACCCCACCTGCTCTTCCCAGCACACGGTCGGAGTTTCTGGATCCAGGCAGATTCAGGCAGCACCTTATCTTTCTGTTTGCAAAGGACCCGCTGCGTGCCCCAGTGGGGTAGGGAGTGCCTGGGGTCCAGTCCATCCTCAGGCTCTGCCATCAGGGCGGCCTGGATGGCTAGGAGCCTGGGGTCTCTGCACACCAGGGCCCTGGAAGCCTCAGGCGCCTCATCTGTGAAATGGGACCGTGGCTACCGCTGCTCTGCTGGGGCAGGGTCTGGGGAGCCTGACTTGGGATTCCTGCCCGTGCGTGGACTGACCTTCCTGAGTGTCCTGGGATCATCTCACCTGGGTGTGTCTTGGAGGAGGGCAGGAGAGAGGGAGCCAAGCAGGGCCTGGAGGAGTCTCGTCCCAGACCCAGGGCGCCGGGACCAGCCTGTGGGATGGAGGGTCTGTCGGTGGTTGGCGGCCTCAGCCTGGTTCTTAGCTGGGTGGGAGGCAAGGCGAGTCTTGGACATGGCCGACCGCGAGCTGGCGGCAAGACTGCCGGCAGCCCCAGAACCAGAGGGGCCTCCTACCTGCTACCGGGGCCTCAGACCCCGTCACGGCGCTGAATCCTCAGCGCTCATCCTCAATTCCACATCTTAGGCCCACCCGCCAGGTTCCACGGATGCCTTTGAGGGAAGTTGCGCCCCTGACGAGGACCTGCCGTCCCAGACCGAACTTCGGCCGGGTGCCTCGGAGCCTGGACCCGCCTGGGCCTTGACCCGGAAGGGTTCCCTAAACGTGTCCTCTTGGCATTTCCGTCTGCCCCCCACCCGACCCACGCCACCCCAACCTTGTTGAATTGGAGTGGGCCAGATCCCCGCTGCCAGGCCTGATGAATACCTTCCTACCAGATGCCAGACTCTTCCTCCTTTAAGCCCCCAGCCCCATTGCCCTCTGGCCACTGTCCCCGTCTGAGTTTTCTCTGTGAGCCTCGATTACAGGGCAGTGATTAAAACAGCCTTCCTCCCCTGAGGACACACGTGGACGCAGGCCTGGCCTCCACGGAACTGTTTCAATCAAGTGCATTAACTGAGCGGGAGCAGGATGAAGTCGGGGGACGGGGGCGTGGTTAGCTCTGCCTCTGCCTGGCCTGGCTCAGAGCGTGAAGGGGAGGGCAGGGAGGCAGAGCAGGGGGCGGGCCCCCCCACCTGGCTCTTAGAAGGGGGCGTCACTTACAGAAAGGTTGGGACCTGGGCAGACTGGGACACTGTCCGGGGTGAACCCTCCCCCACACCGCTCAGCAGAGCTGCTCCAAGTCCTGGGGCAGCCGCGGGGGTGATGAATGAGGGGGACGCCGAGCGCTCTTCCCCACATCGGCTTCCTGGCAGACCCTTACTTCCCCTCGGACTCGGTGCGGGGGGGGGGGGGGGTCCGTGCTGCCTCCTCCTCCAGGAGGCCCTCCCTGATAGCCCTGGGTTGGGCCATTGCCTCTTTGGAGCTTCTATGGCCTTTGGGGCCATTGTGCACATTAGGGAAAGATGTCCTTTCTTCCAAACATTTCCATGCTCTCCACTGGGGAGCTCTCTCTGCTGCCCTACACCCAGCCTATGGCCTCGGTCTGAGGGGCCGGCCCACTGCCCCATGGAGAAGGAACAGCCCTGGCGTGGAAGGTGACCAAGCTCAGGGTCTGTGCTTAGAGGCCTGGGCAGCTTGGACAAGGGAGGCTGTATCTCTGTTTCCTGGTTGGCAAACAGGCATCTTCCTTTTGTCCAGCTGTGTGGAAGCCAGCTTCCCTCCTCCCCAGACCCCCCCCCAAGACCCCCCACCCCGTCCCCACCCCAGGGCAGGGAACGCCCTGGGCTCCAAGGGGGCAGGGCTGGCCCTCCGAGGGTGCTTCCTGGGCAAGCCGGAGGCTGGGCTCTTGGTCTCCACGGCAACCCAGGGGCCCGCCCTCTCACAGGGTGACCCCAGCCCACTCAGGCCTCACACTCCCAGCCTTCTCCACGGAGGGCTTGGCTGGAGGTGAACGGGCCACCCCAGGCCCAGGCCCCCTGAAAACAGCTGACAGCTACCCTATGGAGCTCAACCTGTCACCCCCATCCCTCAACTACCCTGGAGGCAGGTGTGGGCCCAGCAGTCCACTCTCCTCCCCCGGAGCCTCTTTCTCCAACCCGAGGGGATGGATGGCCGCTTCCCTGGGGGTGAGGTTGGTCTCTCCCACCCCAGCCGAACTCCCCAGGGGGCCCCGGGCCCTGGGCGGGCACGGATGGGCAGGCTGACGCCTCCATGGCCAAGTGCATCTCCTGCCTCTGACCGCCTGACTCAGCTGTCTCATTGGATCCGAGTCTTTCTCATCAACTCCTCTGTGTCCTCACCCCTCTCCCCTTCCTCTGTCTCTCCGTCTCTTGGAGTCTCTCTCGGCCCCTAGAACTCGCGAGGTCTCCTGTCTCCCTCTGCGAATCTTTCATTCCGTCTTTCTGCATCTCTGGGTCTCTATTTCTGGGTCTTTCCTCTCTCTCCCTCCCTCCCTCCCTTTGGTGGGAGCCTGGGTGCATGGCGTGCCAGGCCTGAGCTGGGTCACAAGAGAAGCCTTAGGGGACTGGGGTGTCAGGGGAGGGGTCACGGGGGCCGGCGGGGGGCATCCAGAGAGCAGAGCGAGCCCTCTGATTCAGCAGGGGTTCAGGGAAGGCTCCTGAGAGGTGGCGCTGCTGAGCGTGGGCTCAAGGTTGGACCACAGGGGAGAATTCCGGGAGAGGGACGCCGGGCAGTCTTGACAGCATGGACGCCGGGCGGCAGGGGCATCTGGGGGCCCATCGGTGCCTCGGGGGCGGGTGGGAACCCAGGACCGGTCAGCGTGTGCCGATGCTGATGACGAGCCTCCCCTATGTGAGAGCCCCGGCTGGGCACGTCCGTGGACCAGCCTCCCTGGCTCCCCCCCGGGTCCTGTGAGGTTGGCACCGTCGCTGGCCCCAGTTCTCAGGAGAAGAAACTGAGGCTCAGGGCGGCCGAGTAAGGTGCGCGCACAGCTCACAAGGGCAGAGTGGTGAGGGGAGCTGGGGGCTCGTCCTGAGAAAAGGGGAGACGCTGGCGGCTCTTGGAAGGGGGCACGCCCGCCTCTGGGGCACCAGAGAGCTTCCTGGGTCAAGATTCCCTGGAGCAAATGTGCTGTTTTCACCTTAGCAGGTCGGGTTCCATTGGAAAGTCTCAGGCAGTCAATTTTAATTAAAAAGTTAATGTTGCAAAAATAGGCCAAGAAATGGCTGACGGAATCAAATCTGCGATACTTTCCTTCTGTCAATAGCTTTGATGTTTCGTGACCTTTCGCGATGTTGCCGGTTGTACCGCGGTGTTCTAATTCCTGCTGGGGTTGCGGCCTTGCCATCTTCCAGGTCCCCAGAGTGCAGGGGTCAAGGCCACTCTTCCAGGGAGTCCTGGCCTGAACCCCACCCCCACCCTGGGGGTTCCTCATCTCCTCCACCGTCTGGAAGGAGAGCCTGGCTCTGTGAAGGTCCCTGCCATACTGGCCAGTGGCCAAAGACCCCAAGGCCCCATCCCTGGGGGATCTGGGGACCCGTGCCTGTCACTTCACTGAACCTCCGGCCACCTGGGGGGTAGATGGGAGCCGGGGACCCACAGGACTCAGAGCCTTCACATGCACCATGCCCTCTGCCTGAAGGAAGCCTCCTCCCCAGAAGCCCGAGTCCCTGCCCCCACCCCCAGCTCACATCCCTGCTGTGATTAACTTGTAATAGAGCAAAGGTTCTCCCCGCTGCACTGTGACCAACCCGTCCCCGTCTGCCTCTCTACCCCATCAGCCTCCATCCTTCTCTCTGCTCCTACGTGTTCAGTCGCTCAGTCACGTCCAGCTCTACACCACCATGGACTGCAGCCCGCCAGCCTCTGCCCACGGGACTGCCCAGACAAGAGTGTTGGAGTGAGTTGCCATTTCCTCCTCCAGGGGATCTTCCCGACCCAGGGATCGAACTCGCGTCTCCTGCATCTCCTCCATTGGCAGACAGATTCCCCATAGATGTGAGATCACGCAGTTTGTCTTTCTCTGTCTGGCTCATTTCACTCAGCATAACCTCTTTAAGGTCCATCTGTGGTGCTGCAAAAGCAAGGTTTTCTTCTTTTTCAAGGCTGAGTACTATTCCATTCTATCTTGAGACCAGTTTTCTTTAGCTACTCACCTGTAGATGGACACTCTGCTTCTGCCTATATCTCGACTATTTTGAAAATGCTGCAGTGAATATCGGAGAAGGCGATGGCACCCCACTCCAGTGCTCTTGCCTGGAGAATCCCAGGGCTGGGGGAGCCTGGTGGGCTGCCCTCTATGGGGTCGCGCAGGGTCAGACACGGCTGAAGCGACTTAGCAGCAGCAGCAGTGAATATAGGAGTGTGGCTATCTCTTTAAGATGCTGATTTCATTTCCTTTGGATAAAGACCCAGAAGTGGGACTGATGGTTTACTTTTCTGAGGAATTACCATTCTGTTTTCCATAATGGTTGTATTCATTTAGATTCCATCGCAAGTGCACAGGTTTCCAAGTTTTCTACATCAACACCAATATTTTTTCCTTTCTCCCCTCTCCTCTGGCGATAATATCCATTCTAACAGGTGTGAGCGAGATGGTGGTATCTCTTCGTGGTTTTGATTTGCATTTCCCTGTTGTAGAGTTGAGCATCTTTTTATATAGCTGCTGGCCATTCGTCTGTCTGCTTTGGAGAAACATCTGTTCAAGTCCTTTGTATTTTACTTGGGTTATCTGCTTTGCTGTTGGTGGTGTTGCTTTAACTATTGAATTGTAGGAGTTCCTTATATATTTTGGATATTGACTCCTTATCAGATGTGTTGTTTGCAAATGTTTTCTTCCATTCCATAGTTTTTTGCTGTTGTTTTTTCAATTCTGTTGATGATGCCTTTGCTGTGAAGAATTCTTTTAGTTTGGTGTAATCCCACTTCTGTTTTTGCCTTTATTGCTTGTGCTTTCGGTATCAGATCCAAGCAATCATTGCCAAGTCAATTCCTTTCTCCTGGGGTCCTCAGTTTCCTCTTTTGTACTTGGAGAGGGAAATGCCTGATCTGTTAAAGTAGGTTTGGCTGTGGTAACAGGAAGACCCCAAAACGCATGAGGACTCAACCAGGATGGAAGTTCGTTTCTTGCTCACAAAACCGTCCCGGGAAGCTGGTGGGTGGGCAGTGTCCCCCTCTATTGCTTCATGGACCCTCCCTCTGTCCCCTGGGACTCTGCCTCCCTCGGGTCCCATCGTCCCCTGCATCCAGCCGGGGGCGGGGGGGATGGAGAGCACAACGCAGGTGCGCCGGCCTCCCCAAGGCCTTGGCCTGGAAATGGCACCCTTCACTTCCCGTCATCTCTCGGGTCAGAACTCAGTCACGTGGCTGCAGCTAGCTGCAAGGGAGCCTAGGAGAGGTCATAGAGCTGTGTTCCAGGAGGACTCTGATGGGCAGCTCGACGTCTCTGCCATGTGCTTGGAGATAAATACAATAAGAGAAATAAAGTACATAGGTGCATTTTATAGGGTGAGATCAGTACTGAGATCTGTACCACTGATCAGTACTGCTACAGGGATCTTGACTAAATGTTTCTTTCTTGATGAATCAGTTCAGTTCAGTTCAGTTGCTCAGTTGTGTCTGACTCTTTGTGACCCCATGGACTGCAGCACGCTAGGCCTCCCTGTCCATCACCAACTCCCAGAGTTTACTCAAATTCATGTCCATTGAGTCGGTGATGCCATCCAACCATCTCATCCTCTGTCGTCCCCTTCTCCTCCCGCCTTCAATCTTTCCCAGCATCAGGGTCTTTTCCAATGAGTCAGCTCTTCACATCAGGTTGCCAAAGTATTGGAGTTTCAGCTTCAGCATCAGTCCTTCCAATGAACACCCAGGACTGATCTCCTTTAGGATGGACTGGTTGGATCTCCTTGCAGTCCAAGGGACTCTCAAGAGTCTTCTCCAACACCACAGTTCAAAAGCATCAATTCTTCGGTGCTCAGCTTTCTTTATGGTCCAACTCTCACATCCATACATGACCACTGGAAAAACCATAGCCTTGACTAGAAGGACCTTTGTTGGCAAAGTAATGTCTCTGCTTTTTAATATGCTGTCTAGGTTGGTCATAGCTTTTCTTCCAAGGAGCAAGCATCTTTTAATTTCATGGCTGCAGTCACCATCTGCAGTAATTTGGGAGCCCAGAAAAATAAAGTCTCTCACTGCTTCTATTGTTTCCCAATCTATTTGCCATGAAGTGATGGGACCAGATGCCATGATCTTAGTTTTCTGAATGTTGAGCTTTAAGCCAACGTTTTCATTCTCTTCTTCCACTTTCAACAGGAGGTTCTTTAGTGCTTGGCTTTCTGCCATAAAGGTGGTGTCATTTGCATATCTGAGATCATTGGTATTTCTCCCGGCAATCTTGATTCCAGCTTGTGCTTCATCCAGCCCGGCATTTCTCATGATGTACTCTGCATATAAGTTAGATAAACAGGGTGACAATATACAGCCTTGATGTACTCCTTTCCCTATTTGGAACCAGTCTGTTGTTCCACCTCCGGTTCCAACTGTTGCTTCTTGACCTGCAAACAGATTTCTCAGGAGGCAGGTCAGGTGGTCTGGTATTCCCATCGCTTGAAGAATTTTCCAGTTTGTTGTGATCCACACAGTCAAAGGCTTTGGCATAGTCAATAAAGCAGAAATAGATGTTTTTCTGGAACTCTCTTGCTTTTTCAATGATCCAACAGATGTTGGCAGTTTGATCTCTGGTTCCTCTGCCTTTTCTAAAACCAGCTTGAACATCTGGAAGTTCACAGTTCACGTACTGTTGAAGCTTGGCTTGGAGAATTTTGAGCATTACTTTACTAGCGTGTGAGATGAGCACAATTGTGTGGTAGTTTGAGCAATCTTTCGCATTGCCTTTCTTTGCAATTGAAGTGAAAACTGACCTTTTCCAGTCCTGTGGCCACTGCTGAGTTTTCCAAATTTGCTGGCATATTGAGTGCAGCACTTTAACAGCATTCTGGATGAATGTTGATATATATAAAATAGATAAAACAATAAGGATTTACCATGTAGCACAGGGAACTATATTCAATATCTTATAATAACCTATAATGGAAAAGAATCTGAAAAACTGTATGGATAACTGGATCACTTTGCTGTATATCTAAAACTAATACAATATTGTAAATCAACTCTCCTCCAGTTTAAAGATGAATGCTGAGTAAAAGAAATATTTATTGGATGGATGGATGGATGGATGGATGAATACATGGATGATGGGTAGATGAGTGGGTGGGTGGATGAATGAATGGGCAGATGGATGAGTGAGTAAATGTATGGTTGGGCAGATGGATTGATGATGGATGGATGGTGGATGGATGGATGGTGGATGGATGGATATTGGATGGATGGATGGATGGATGGTGGATGGATGGATGAATATGTGGATGAACGGATAAATGAAAGGGCAAATCAAGGAATGGATTAAAGGATGACCCAGCATCCAGAGATGGTGGCACGGGTTGGTTCCAGAAGAAGTGGCTAGACCTGGGCAATCAGAAGACAGCAGGCTCCCTGGGAGAGGAGGGGGCACAGTGAGGGTGAGACATCGTCTTGGCCTGCGGGGGTCTGGCTGGCAGGGGTGGGTGGAAGTTTCCAACACTGATCTTGCTACCCCCTGCCAGCTGGGCTGGGGGTGCCCTGTCTCCCTTTGAGCCCCCCTGGGTGGTGGGACCCAGACTCCTCGGAGGGTGAAATGTGGGGCCTCCACCTTGGCAGGAGGGGGCCGCAGAGCTGGCAGGGATGCAGGGTGGGCTGCACCTCCCTCGTCCTGCCAAGCATCTGCGGACCCGCAAGTTAAATGTGAAAACGCTGAAGTGATCTTAAGGCCCTGACACGATCCGACGGGAGCCCAGGAAGTCGGAAGTTAAATGACATGTTGGTAAAGTCTTCTCTTCCCAGCTCTGTAGCCCCACAAGCGCCGCCCTTTCTCCACGGGAAACAGGCGGAGCTGGAGACAGGCAATAGGGGAGTGGGCTGCAGCTGCCCTGGACATGCTCTCTTTAAACCCAGCATGTCGCTGTGGGCACGGGGCAGTGAGTGTGGCTGGGCGGTCTGTTGGGTTGAGGGTACAGCCAGCGTCACTTGAGGCACAGCAGGAGCCAGGGCTGCCCGCGTCCTTCAGGGCTGGGGCTCCTTTAAGGAGGGTGCCCAAGCAGGCCGCCTCTCTGGGACGCAATGCTGGCCCAGGGCCGCCCAGACTGGCCCTGGGGGGACAGTGTCCAGCACGGACTCCCACCCCAGGCTCGGAAGGCAGGCTCGGGGATATGTACGGCCTGGCACAGGGGCCCTCTGGGTGAGGGGCTTCCAGAGCTGAGACAGGCTGCAGGGAGGGAGGGGGCCTTAAGCAAGCCGGGGTGGGGGGAGGCTCTAGGCCATGGCGGGGGGTGGAGACGAGAGCCTTGAGGGTCCTCCCCAGCATCCACGTGGTGACCACAGATCACCCAGGGAGTGCGACGCCTGGCCACATCCCCACCACCAGTCTGCGTGAGAGCAGATGACCCCCAAACGTGGGCCCAAGAAAAGGGGACCAGACCCCTACTGCCCCGGAGCACCTCCCCCCCGACCCCGGCCCTGTGCACCAGGCCCGCAGCCATAAACCCAGCCTGCTCCCGGTCCTCAGGTGAGGGGACAAAGGGCGCCTCCCTGTCCCCATTGGAGAGACTCAGAGAGGCTAGGATGCCAGGCGAGGGTCCTTGGGCAGGGGCAGGGTGAGGGTGGGAGACCCCAGCCAGCTGGTGGTCAGAAGCAAAGTGGTGGAGACCTCCCGGCGGAAGCAGCCTGGTCACCCCCGAGGCTCGCCACCGCTCTGGGAGGCAGGGCAGGAGGGCATGTCCTTCCAGGAGACGCCGTGAGGACCGAGAGGGGCTGAGCAGCCTGCCGCCCGGGGTCACAGCATAGAGGGGCTCCAGCGTCCTCCTTCTCAGGACGGCCCCGGGGCCCCACCCCTTGGTGGGAGGGGCGTCCCGTTTGCACCTGGAGGCCGAGTGTGACCTTTGCAGGGCCGGTGTGCACACGGCAGGCGGGGCCTGACCCTCCGGGGAAGCAGGGGCCGGGTGTTCCGGGCTGTGGATTAATCACAGAGATGAGAAATAGATCCCTGACCCGCTGTGGCCTCATTACTCAAGTTGGACCGAAGAGGAAAGGCTTCCAGACCCCCCTGCAGCTCTGATGGCCTCGGCCTGGATGGTGCGCCCACCTCACCAGGACCAGGCAGGTCCTGGCCACAAGTCCACCACCAGGAAGCCTGCAAGTCGGGGCGGAGCGACCTCTGAGGGGCCCTGGGTTACAGACACCTGACTGGGCTTGCGAAAACAGCTTCACACGCCTGTAGTGGGGATATGATCATGGCCACCGGGTCTCCCAGGACGATCGGGGTGGGCGTTGAAAGATGAATTGATGCATTTGAACTGTGGTGCTGAAGAAGACTCTGAAGAGTCCCTTGGACTGCAAGGAGATCCAACCAGTCCATCCTAAAGGAGACCAGTCCTGGGTGTTCATTGGAAGGACTGATGCTGAAGCTGAAACTCCTATACTTTGGCCACCTGATGTGAAGAGCTGACCCATTGGAAAAGACCCTGATGCTGGCAATGATTGAAGGCGGGAGGAGAAGGGAATGACAGAGGATAAGATGGTCGGATGGCATCACTGACTCAATGGACATGACTTTGAGCGAGCTCCGCGAGTTGGTGATGGACAGGGAGGCCTGGCATGCTGTGGTCCATGGGGTGCAGAGTCGGATATGACTGAGTGACTGAACTGAACTGAAAGATGAATAGATGTCCGGCAGGCATGGTGCCACTGGACGTGGTTACGCAAGGCCGTGGTGTTGCCAGGCGTGTTTCCAGAAGGCTGCCTTGTCTGAAGTGACAGGGGATAGGGAGGTGGGGGAGGCTGGAGGCCAGGGAGGGGCCCCTGCACGGGCCACGGGAAAGCCGCGGGGGCCCAGCCGGGGCGGTGGTTGTGAGGAAGTAGACGGGCTTCCAGGGTGCCGAGAGGTGGACTCAGGAGGCCAGGGAGACGGGTTGGACAGTAGAGACAGGGAAGAGGAGGCAGGATGGAGTCCCCCATGCTCCTGGGTCCCCCCCCACCGCCACCATGACACAGCCAGGGGGACCCAGAACTCTCTCTGACGCTTTGCTGGCTCTGGGTCGCCCTCCATCAGCAAGGGGCCCCGAGGGCCATGGTCACAACAAGGGGTCAGGACTTTGGAGGAAGCTGAGGTGGGGGTGATAGGTTCTACTCCAAATGGAGAAAGTTCCAGGGGTGATGGAGGCAGGGAGGCTGGGTAGAGGCTCTCCCTGGCCTCCCACCAACTCAGGCTAAGCGAGGGCCCAGCAAGGCTCCTGCTTCCCTGGGCCCGCTCCACGGGGCCCCTGATGCCCATTAATCATATTAACTGCCACTCTCGGTGGAGCTGGGAGGCGGGGGTCATCAGATTACTGGCCCGCTGAAAAGGTCAGCAGGCCGGGCAAGTTCTCTGTCTCGTCCAATTCAGGGCCGATCGATGCAGCCTCTTCCTGGACCTGACCGCCCTCCACAGCCTGCGGTCAGACAGGCGTCACTGGAAGTGGGGGTGGAGTGGGGGAGCTGGGAGGGTGGGGATGACCCACCGTCACCCTGGGGAGGCGAGCTGGACACGGGCCCAGCCCTGGGAAGCTGCCGGGCTCCTCCCAGCCCTGCCGCTTCGGTCCTTCAGGTGAGTGCTCCACACCCAGAGAGCCGAGAGCCGGAGGGAGGACGGGCCTGTCTGCACAGGTGCTCGGGACAAAGCAGGTGCAGCCCAGGCCCCACGCCCTTCTCCACGAGCACCTGCCTCTCCCCCCACCAAGCCGTCTGCTTGCAGCTCAGGGACTGCTGGGTGTGACTGCCAAGTGTGGACCCTCCCGGGGGCATTTTCATTTGAAAAGCCCAGCTGGAAGACCCCCTAAGCTCTCAAGAGACAGAGCTGTGCTGGGGGTGGGACAAGGCCGGGCCATCTGTGGGGCCTGACCTCCACAGTGAGCCGCCGGGACCCCCTCCAGGGCTGAGGGTGTCCCCCCGTGCTCAGCCCACCCAGCTCAGTTGCTCCGGGCTGAGGAGCTCCCAAGCTGGGGGCCCGACCGAGGCTGGCGGCTGTAAGGTCTCCCCCTGTGTGGTCCTGCTTTTCCTGGATCTGTGTCCCGGGGCTGCTGAAATAAAGGACCGTGAACCAGGGCCTCCACCGGATGGGAATCCATCCTCAGGGCTGGCAGCCCAAGGTCAAGGTGTGGGCAGGGTCCTGGTGCTTCCAGGCTCCTGGCGTCCCCGGGCTGCGTGCCTCCCCCTTCACACAGCCTCTGCTCGCCTCCTCGTCTCTTTGCAGGACACTCAGGGAACCAGCACCTCAGGGCCCTCCCCTCCATCACGTCCAGCGTCCCTGTCTCCACGCACGGTCATGGCCACGGGCTCTGGGTTTAGGGCCTATGCTCCTCACACAGGGTCCTCGCCCTTCTACTGGCCTCCCCTCCTCAGTCTAGACCCCAAGCTCGTCCCCGAATAAACGTCCTGCTCCCCAGACTCCACCCCAGGCTCTGCCCTTCAGGGGTGCCCCCAGTGACAACCGGAGGCCCCAGAAAGCAAGGGACCCACCTGCCCCAGAGCCCAGGCTCCTGGCCACGTGGGGCGGGGCCAGCACGACTGGGACGCCTCCGGCCGAGCCGAGGCCATAGCAATGAGGCGGGTGCAGGGGGGAGTCCTCACGGGCCCCTGGCCAAGAACAGTCATCGGGCTGCCTTTCCAGGAGAGGGAGGGTCTGGGGGCTGCTGCCTGGGACGCATAGTGAGGCTGAGAGCCCAGTGAGAGACCCAGAGACGGAGAAGGAGGTAAAACAGCGAAGTCAGAAAGGAGGAGGTGAGAGATGCAGGGGGGGGGGTGATAGTGAGATAGATACACAGATAACAGATGAGTAATCGATATACAGATAGGCGATGGGGAAATAGATGATAAGGGGATGGTGAACAGAAGACAGGTAGGTAGATGATAGATAGAGATACATAGATACATAAATGATGGGTGGATGATAGACAGATGGGTCTCCTGCCAGGGCCAATTTGGGAAATTCCAGGCTTTATTTGATTTGAGAAGGGGATATTGTAGGTATCCCCAATGGCACCCCACTCCAGTCCTCTTGCCTGGAAAATCCCATGGACGGAGGAGCCTGGTGGGCTGCAGTCCATGGGGTCGCTACGAGTCAGACACGACTGAGCGACTTCACTTTCACTTTTCACTTTCATGCATTGGAGAAGGAAATGGCAACCCACTCCAGTGTTCTTGCCTGAAGAATCCCAGAGCTGGGGGAGCCTGGTGGGCTGCCGTCTGTGGGGTTGCACAGAGTCGGACACAACTGAAGCATCTTAGCGGTAGCAACCTTTTATAATAGGGGTAAAGATTCTGAGATGAGGGTTCTGAGAACATCAAAATACTCCTTTCTGCAAACAGAAGGAAGCTCATCTCAGAATGGTATTAACTATAAGGACTAAGTCTTAACTCTCTGAACAGAAAGTTCTGGGGAGGATGGGGGCTGGCTCCAGAGCTGGACAATTCAGAGGCACAGAAGAAAGCACCAAATCACAGGATCTTCCCACCTCTGTGCTCTGGCCTCAGACACATCCTCCTCGTGGCTACAGGGTGGCTGCTGCTGCTCCAGAAGTCACAGCAGATGCAGACAAGTTTAGTGGAAGAAGAGATCATCTTTTTTTTTCTTTAGAGGACCACCATCTTTTCCTGAGCCTTTTGGAGAGGAAGAAAACATTTCCCTGAAGACCCCAGTAGCCTCCACCCCCATCTGTGGTTAGAACAGTGAGTGTTTCCACTGTGAAGTATTTCGCCCTGTAGCTGGGGAGGAGTTAGCTACCCTTCCCAAAGTCATTGGCAGGGAAATGGGGAACACCCAACAAAACCTAGCCTTGCCAGCAAGCAGGAAGGGTGGAGGGCTGTGGGGATGCAAACACCAGGGAGGTTGTGTCCCGCACCCAGAACTTGCCAGCATCGGTGGAGAAGCTGACACTGAGGCCCAGAGGGCCAGCTGCACTCCGCAGTGTGGGCTGGGGTGCCCTGGTGCCTGGCTTGCCAAGCAGGGGGTGGGGGCGAAGGGAGTCGGCGCTGGCCCCAGGGCCTGGGAGTCGTGGTCTCCCACCCTGCCCCTGCCACCTGGAGCTCCCCGAGAACCACGGCCCAGGCTGCCCTCTGATGCTGGACTCACCTAAGGAAATGTTCTCACTGGTGCATTTCCAGCCCAGACGGTGGCGGTTTTAGTATCGAGAACCACAGCGAGGGGGACGGGCGCCCGTTCCTGCGGGCTGGCCAAGGGCGTTTGTCTCCGACAATGGAGAGGAAATGAAATCCAAGGGGCTTTTCCTCCCCTTAACAATGCGGATCGGCTGTCAGACCAGGGCAGAGGTGCCACTGGGTCACAGCGCGGGTGAGGAGGCGGGGAGCAGGGCACCAACGGTTGGGACTGCGGTCACTCCCCCGCCGCGGGCAGACAGCCCCCAGCCTCAGTTTCCTCGTCTGTGAAATGGGAAGAATAGCAAGAGGGCAGGGATGCCCGTCAGTGTCCGGCTGTGAGCACACACTCATAAAGAGCACGAGGGCTTCCCGGTGGCTCAGATGGCAAAGAATCCGCCCGCAAAGCAGGAGGCCTGGGCTCGATCCCTGGGTCGGGAAGATCCGCTGGAGAAGGGCACCGCAACCCACTCCAGTGTTCTTGCCTGGAGAATCTCATGGACAGAGGAGCCTGGCGGGCTGCAGTTCATGGGGTCGCAAAGAGTCAGACACGACTGAGCGACCGAGCCCAAGGGGCATGAAGGTGGTGGGATGACCCATTTCCCACGCCGGGGGGTGAGGGGGCTTCTCCTGGGACAGGGCCTGGCCTCATGAAGGTGGTGGGATGACCCCTTTCCCAGGCCGGGGGGTGAGGGGGCTTCTCCTGGGACAGGGCCTGGCCTCATGAAGGTGGTGGGATGACCCCTTTCCCAGGCCGGGGGGTGAGGGGGCTTCTCCTGGGACAGGGCCTGGCCTCTCTCCTGTCACCACCCTCTCAGTCCCTGTAGGTGGGGGATGGCTGTAGCTGGGGCGGGCCCCTTCCTGGGAGAGTTTGGGTTTAAAGTCTCCTCTTTGTAGCACAACTCATCAAGAGCACCCTCTGGGTTTGCTCCCTTCCGAGTCCACACTGGGCGCGTGGGCTCCCGCCTCTTTACCAGCTGAGATTTTGAGTTTAAAGTGTCACGTCCGGAGTGGAGGTGGGGGTTGGATCTATTTTCCTTCTGTTTCTGCCCGAAAGGGCACAGATGGCAGTTTGGGCGAGTGGGCCGGCTCCAGCCTGAGACCAGGACCGGCCGTCCAGCCGGTCCATCCTGAGCCAGAGGTGCTGACCGACCTGGTCAGAGATTACCCTCCGTGTCCTCCGTCCGTGTTTGATCCCCCGGTGGGTGCCCCTCCCCCGAGAGGGAAGTGGGGGTGTCCTGGGCCCCTAACTTCAACTCCCAGGTCCCTGAGCATGCGGCACCCGTCGACCTGGGTCGGGGCCTGCTCACCAGCCACGTTCCTCCCGCGTCCAGCAGAGAGTGACGGGGCCGGGCGGGGCCCTAGTCCCATCGCCAGCTGCGACTGTGGACAGCACGTCGGAGCAGACGGCCCCCTCGGGAGGGACCGGGGAGGCTGGACCTGCAGGGGCAGAGCCCGAGGGGCAGGCCCGAGGGACCCCTGCCCCCTCCCCAGCCCTCTGGTCCGCTGAGGTCAGTGCCCCCGCTTCCTGCTGCCCCCCGGTGACATGCTCACACTTCCCCAGCCTCTCCTTCCCAAGGGAACCTTCCAGGGGCCCGCGCCATCCCCCACCCCGGGTCCTCCCATCTTCAGCCCCCTCCTCCCAATTCCGCCCCCCCACCCTGAAGGTGTCTGCTCCTCTTTGTTTGAGCAGAACTCAGCAAGGGAGCCCTCTGGGTTTGCTCCTTTTTGAGTCCACCCCGGGCATGCTGGCTCCCAGCTCCCGAACACTGTGACGCTGCGACCCCCGCGACCCCCGTGACCCCCACGACCCCTGTGACCCCCGCTCCGCACAGCCTCCTGGCCCGCCCGTCTCCCCCGGGCTCCTCCGTCAGCTTCCAGGTCCTGGCTTGCTCTCTGCCACCCTGGTCGCTCTCTCCTTCCGTTCTCTGACCTCTCACCTTCGACCTTTGGTGTCCCATCTCCGACCTCTCCCCATGGCCCCTCCCACTCACCCCTTTTTTCTTGCCCCCCCGAAGCCAGGCTGTTGCCTTATCTCAGACCTCAGCCGGAGTCTGGGCCTGCCCTCCCCTCTGCTGTGTCCACCTGGCCCCCTGACCCCTCAGCGCTCACCTGGACCGTGGCAGGGGCCTGCTGCCTGCCCCCGCCCCCCACCCATCTGTTCTCAGACCCCCGGACCTTGAGAGGCAAGCCACACAGGGGCCCCACCTGCAAGAGACTCGGGGGAGCAGAGGCCCTGCGTGGCCTGGCCTGCTCGGAAGTCAGCTCCCAAGCCCCGGACCCCCGTCCTCTGCTCCTCGCCGCCCCGGCCCGGGCCCTTCGCTCCAGCCTGCCAGCCCCCCCAGACCCGGCCCTGTCCTCCGCCGGAGCCCCCGCTGCGTTCTCGTTTCTCACCCCCTGCAAGTCTTGGCTCAGACGTCACCTTCCTGGCCAGTCCATCCCTCAAGGCCAGCAGACCCCTCATGCTGCCAGGCTCCAGGGAGGGGAACCCCTCTGTTCACTGTCCCCCGGGGAGCGTGCCATCCCCTCAGACACTCTTATTCTAGAACATTCGCCACCAGTTTCTGGTCTTCTAGGAGCTGTCCCACTTTTGAAGCATCCAGGCCAGTGGCGGGGGCAGGGAGGTTCTGCTTCTAAAGACGAAGCAGAGGGAGCCGGGGGCCGCACTCCCGCCCCACGCCCTCCCCGGCCATGGCCCAGACCCTGGAAGGACCAATGTGGGCAGCACAGGTGCCGCAGGGGGCTCGGGGCCGGCCTGCCGGCTCCTGAGACAGGAAGCAAGGGAACCGGCGCTCGGTCAGGGGACGAGCAGGCGAACGCCGTCTCGTTTCTCTGAAGCGTGCCCGGGGCGACGTCACTGCCTGCTCCTCTGGGGCTCCCGGCTACCCCACACACCCAGACGGGCAGGACTGGGAGCGGGGAGTGGGAGGGCTGGCCTCCAGGCACCTGGACTGGACTTCCATCGCCTTCGAGCCTCATGCAAATGCGCCTTTGCTGCCCTCACCCCTCACAAATGCCCATTGACGGCTCGGGGTCACCAACGTGCTTTAGTCCTGGAGGCAAACGTGATAACTGCCACACCACGGAAACAGCTTTCCTCACCCATTTGCGAACTGAAGGGAATTTGTCTGTGCCCCCATTTTGCAGATGAGGAGACTGAGCCCCAGGGAGGGGCCATGACCTGCACAAGGCCACCGGCTGGTAGACTCTCCGTGCATCCAGCGGCCAAGCTGCCGGACCTCAGGATTAGGTCTTCATGAGGGAGGGACTTTCTGACATAAAAGTGGTGTCATCTGCATATCTGAGGTTATCAATATTTCTCCTGGCCATCTTGATTCCAGCTTGTGCTTCTTCCAGCCCAGCGTTTCTCATGATGTACTCTGCATATTAGTTAAATAAGCAGGGTGACAATATACAGCCTTGACGTAATCCTTTTCCTACTTGGAACCATTCTGTTGTTTCATGTCCAGTTCTAACTGTTGCTTCCTGACCTGATACAGGTTTCTCAAGAGGCAAGTCAGGTGGTCTGGCATTCCCATCTCTTTCAGAATTTTCCAGTTTATTGTGATCCACACAGTCGAAGGCTTTGGCATAGTCAATAAAGCAGATCAGTCCTGGGTGTTCATTGTAAAGACTGATGCTGAAGCTGAAACTCCAATACTTTGGCCACCTCATGCCAAGAGTTGACTCATTGGAAAAGACCTTGATGCTAGGAGGGATTGGGGGCAGGAGGAGAAGGGGACGACAGAGGATGAGATGGCTGGATGGCATCACCGACTTGATGGGCATGAATTTGAGTAAACTCCGGGAGTTGGTGATGGACAGGGAGGCCTGGCGTGCTGCAATTCATGGGGTCACAAAGAGTCGGACATGACCGAGCGACTGGACTGAACTGAACTGAACTGAGGAAGTGACAGACTTAGCCGAAGGGGTGGGTGATGCCCTAGGGGAGCGGAGACCTCAGGGGGAGGGTCTGTCTGGAGGAAACGTTCTCTCCCAGGGGGAAGGGAGCGGCCAGGGCTGCAGAGTGGGAACCTTGGGAGGAGGGGCGCCCCACGGGAGCCAGACCCCACGGGACTGGGGCTCAAAGGGTGGACTGGATCAGACGGAGCCCTGCTGGGTTATAAGGAACAGGCTGAATCGGTCTTCTGTGCCCAGGTAGCTCTGCCGGAACCATGGCTGACGGTGACATTTCCCACCTGGCCGCGAAGATCTCCTCATCTGGGGGGACGGAGAGCCTTCAGGGACAAGTGCCTCGTCCCCGCGCCCTAGGGACCCCATGGAGGGGGACAGATGGGGCCACAGTGGCAACTGCTGTCCTGGGCCCTCCTGCGGGCTGCCTTGGGGCGGGGCGAAGTGGCAGAGAGAAACAGCGGTTAGATCGGTGAGGGCAGAGTTTATCAGGGCTGTTGCGATGGAGGAAATGAGCCGCCCATGTGGAACCAGGCTTAACTCGATGCAGGCTGGCCAGGAGCGGGTCTGACTCAGGAGCAGGTGGGGTCAGTGGATGGAAGCTCAGTGAGGCAGAAGGTCAGGGGTGAGCGGATTCTGGCTAAACGCCCCAGTGGCATCCTCGCTGGAGGCAGACCGGGCGTCGGGCAGCGGCTGGGGCCAGCGGGATGAGGACTTTGATCCAATATCCAGCAGGGGTTTCTGGTCAAGATGGCCTCGCGGGGTCCCTGCAGAGAGCGGATTCTAGCAGGAAGTGCACAGATGGCAGCAGGTTCATCTGCCTCCTCTGGGGGCTTGTCTCCCGTCTGCGACATGCAGGGAGAGTCGTCTGTCCTGGGGACCCCTGGGGCTCAGGGACATCTGGGCCACGAAGGCGGCGGGATCCCAGGCTCAGCCTGGCTCCCCGTCCTTCATGGATTCCCCACTGTGATTCCTCCCACGAAGGTCAACACAGAACAAGCCTCCTTTGCATGTTTTCTTATCAACACGGGAATCTGCCCTGCACAGAGGCAAAAAACGACCCCCTGGAGCTGCTGGGTGTGAACAGGACGGAGCCCACAGGTCCCCAGAGATGGCTGCTTCCCGTCTGTGTGTCTGTAGGACCAGCCGTGGCTTTGGGCGGGTGCCAAGGGGGCCAGTTTGACAAGAGCCCAGTCAGACTCTCCCAAGGGACCACAACCCCAATTCTGACAGAGGGTGCTCAGACGGGAAACCAGGGCTGGGAGGCAGTGTTTGGAGGGGTCTGCATGCCCCTCTTTAGCCCTCTGCCTGGTTGCGGTGTGGAGGCAGCTAGGGGTTCCCAAGGGCACCCCACGTCATAAGGCTAAAGAGCCGTGCTCCTGGAGGCAGACTGGGACGTGCCAGGGACAGGGTGATCCTGGGCCTGTCGCCCTGGGCTCTTGGTAGGGATTGGAAAGGAGTGACTGGGCAGCACTGGGGTCAGTGGCTGCCACCTCTGTTAGGTGCCTGCGGCCCCCAGCCGCTAGGAGAGCTGCCTGGGGGTCTCCCCGCCCCCACACCCATCCTGGGCCCTCCAGGCCGTGGGTGGGATGGCCAGCAGGGCCTCCCGTCCTCCTTGGTCCTGGCACCAAGAGGGACCTGGTGTGACAGCGGGTGTGAGCCAGTGCCTGGGCGGGTGCCCTGGAAGGCGTGGGGGTGCGGGGCTCCTCCTCTCCCCACACCCACCCCCGAGGAGGCTGCTGGGGTGGCGCGGGGTGTACGGGGGTGCCCCATGGACCACGGGCCCCCCGAGGTTCAGTCAATAAAGAATCCACCTGCAGTGCGTTCCATCACTGGGCTGGGAAGATCTCCTGGAGAAGGGAATGGAAGCCCGCTCCGGTATTCTGGCCTGGAGAATCCCAGGGACAGAGGAGCCTGGCGGGCTGCAGTCCATGGGGTCGCAAGAGTTGAACACAGCTGAGCAACTAGACCACCACCGCCATGGCCCACGCCGGGTCCCTCAGTCACGCCTGTGTGTGCTCGCTGGGTCATTCATCTACCAGCTCCCGGAGGTGCCACCGCCGAATGCCACCCTCCTGGGGGTTAGAGCTGCCACGCATGGATTCGGGGACACATCCGGTCCACAGAAGACAGCCGAGGAACGACCACATCCCTCTACCTGCTATCTCCGGGACACGTCACCCTCTCCGCTGATGGCTAAAGGGCTCAGTCTGCGGGAGACTTCTGGTGTCTGCTGGTGGGCTGCTGAGCAGGTGACCCTTCCTGCCACTCCACCACCCACCATGGCCTTCCTGCCCCTTGGAAAGCCCCACTCACCAGGGAGCGCTGACGTCTCGCCTGGCTGCAGGCCATGGCACGCTGAAGCTACACAGAGGCTCACACAGCGTCGTGCGTTTCTGCTCCTGCCCCGCAGCCAGGGGTCCTCCCATCTGCTTAAAAGCTTCTTCCTTTGAATTAAAAGAAACTGCCTTTTGCAAGACCCTAGAGAGATTCCCTGGGGCTTCCCTGAGAGCTCAGCTGGTAAAGAA